CAATAATCGAAAACAAAAGTAGAAATCTCGCGAGACGCGTGAAATTGCACGTTAACTTATAAGTCAATATATCCGGTAATTTGTCTGCGATATCAATTCGATGAAAGCGGACGTTAAATAAAGCTATTTTACACAAACACCCACACGTGGTTATAATACAATAATCGAAACCCAAAGTAGAAATCTCGCGAGACACGTGAAACTACAAGAGATGTAAACCTGACAATTATCACATCGTAGGAAAGATTCTATTTGGTGGCATATTCTCGGGTTTATGATAATATTTTGAATGGGGTTTATGTTTAAATAAAAAGGAATAAACAAGCTGAGAAATGTCGACAAATATTTCGATTGGAATAGTGTACATGTAAGTAGTTAATTGTTTTACACGATAGCGCGTGCTAGTGCTATTATTTAGCAGATGGTGTCACTGACCCGGGAGCGACGGTCACTGCGAAAAAAATTTCGGGATGTCTTATTTTTTACCTCCACCCGTATAGACGTCAAAACGTAGTATAAGACGAATGCCGGACTTCTGCTGAAAAAAGTATCGACTTATACCCCGAAAAATACGGTAATTTTTTAGGTGATTTTGAACAAAAGTACGGGCCGACAGTAGTCGGCACGCCTTCATTCTATCGTATTACGACAACACGTAATTTTGTAGGAATATTACTGACATAAATTTGAATACCGTACGAGAATTAATATGAAAGATAACGAGGCGCACCTATTTTTTTTTTGTTACGTACAAATTTGAATATTTTGTTGACACGTGATTTTTAATTGTCGTCTGAAACCGCCTGCTTAAATAATAAGAGTTATGCCCCTTTATTTTCGGTAAAAATGTCCGACTAGAAAAATTTTGAAATCCCATCACTGTACCAATGCCTATCACATACGGAAGAGGCGATAAAATCTCTTTGCATTTGCAATTTCAAAATTAATTAAAACCAATATTAAATTCCGAAAATCGTTTTTTTGCAAAAACTCTCCTTTTTTTTAATCGGATCAAATGGGAGTAAGGCACAGAGTCCGGGGTGGTAATGGGCGTATTGTGTCCAAATTTCATGGTTTTCGGACGATCGGCGCCGGTGTCGTGGTGAAATTCCTCTTTTTTCGCCCTTACTGAAGCCGTAAATGGCGGAAAAAGCTGAAAGGCAGGAACCGTGTAAAGAACAAACGACCTGAACGAATGCAGGTATTGCCTTGAATTTTTCAAGGCACCTAGGTACCAACGTGAAAAGTTCCTCGACAGAATTTGGTAGTTATGGTACCTTTGGTTCCAGCGTGGTGCATGCGCGAATTCAAAAGAAATTATGGTTGATTTTGGGTATATTTCGGAGTGGTTTGGTAGGTGACGGTGGATTGGGGACTCAGATGGATCTAACACAATATTATAATAACTTTGAAGAATGAGCAAATTTTTGCGACCGGGTTGATTTGCTCTGCCCAGGCAACGTTCCTGTGGTCCGATTGCCTTCAAATTTGCACAGAATGTACCTTGGGATTCTAGCTATCACATATTAAAAATAGAAGATTGTGGGATTCAAAGAACGTTCAAAATAAATTCAAAACCCACCCCCACCCATCAAAAAAATTGCCATATTTTATCGAATTTTTATTGTTCTTGATATTTGAGCATTTTCTACTTTTAATATGTGATAAATATCATCGCGGCGCAGCCAACCGCTAGAAATTCCAGAGATTTGGACCACAGGAAAGATGCCTCAGCAGTCAAAAAAGGTCAAAATAGGCGATTTCGGGTTTCTAGTGGCGATACATCGTTACGGTCATTTTTAAAAATTGTCTTTTAAGGATAATGTGTATAGTACCAATACCTATCACATACGGAAGAGGGATGATTTTACATTATTTAATATTATGGGACAATTTTTCTTGGCGTACGACAACACAGTATTAGACTAGGATAACAGTCCCGAAACTCTATAATGGATTGCTACCATGGGGTTGAAAAACATTTGTCTTATATATACAGCTTTGACTTATATATGGATAGAGGTTGGAAAAACAGTAAAATATAACAGTCCGACGATGAGAGAATGTGTTTATTGATTTTCCCTGTTCTACGTCTATCTATTCCAAAAGGTGAGGGTATCTTGCTTCTCGACCACCTGTTACATATGCATTTTTATACGCCCACATGGAAATGTGGTCGTATATTGCCGTCGCCCCCGTCCGTCCATTTGTCGTTCACAATTTCTTGTGAACACTCTACAGACTACATTTATTATCTGATTGTTTTGAAATTGATATATGTTGTTTTCATTAGTGAGATGAAGAAGCCTATTTAATTTCAGTAACTTCCGTTAATTTCTTCTGGAGTTATGGCCCTTGTTTCACTTTGTTGCACGCTCTAACTCTAACGCCAAAAGTTATCAACCAATCTATATGAAATTTATATATATCATTTAAATTAGCAAAACAAAGAATCCTATTGAATTTCAGCAATTTCTGTTATTTAAATCTAGAGTTATGGCCCTTGTTTCACTTTGTTGAATCCTGTGAAAATTCTAATGACAACAGTTATCATCCGATCTGTTTAAAATTTATATGGATCATTTAAATTAGTGAAACGAAGAAGCCTATTGAATTTCAGCGATTTCCGTTAATTATGTCGTGAGTTATGGCCCTTGTTTAACTTTGTTGTACCTTGTGAATGCTCTGACGACAAAAGTTATCTGATCTGTATGAAATTTATATGTATCGTTTAAAGAAGTAAACTGAACAAGCCTATTGAGTTTCAGCAAATTTCCGTTAATTACATCTAGAGTTATGGCCCTTGTTTCACTTTGTTAAATCTTGTGAACGCTCGAACAACAAAAGTTATCACCCAATCTGTATGAAATTCATATACATCATTTAAATTAGTGAAATGAAGAAGCCTATTGAATGTCAGCAATTTCCGTCAATTACTTCTAGAGTTACGGCCCTTGTTTTACTTTGTTAAACCAAGTGAACGTTCGAACGACAAAAGTTATCATCCGATTTGTATGAAATTTATATGCATTACTTAAATTAATAAAACGAAAAAGCCTGTCAAATTTCAACAATTTCTGTAGATTACTTCCCGTGTTATGGCCCTTGTTTTAGTTTTTAGAACCTTGTGAACCTTCAAACGACGAAAATTATAATGTCACCTGTATGAAATTGTCTATAAATGCCCCTAATTACTTTCAAAAGAATAAATTTGCCACAACCCTTGTTGATCGCTTGGACGATTTAGCTGCTGTGGGCGTATGTTTTGTTGCCTGACTTGTGAACCTAGAAAGAGAGAGAAAGGTGTGTTTCAATGTCCACGTCACACCAACCAGCCAACCAGGTTAATTTGGTACTACCATGATATACATTAATTTCACAAATAATGGCTTGTGTCTGCTTTGCAGCTATGGATTAAACATACAAATCCATTTAAAAAAAACCACATAATTTTATGGAAGACAAATCCCAGTCTCAGAAAGTTATTTGTTGGAAAATATCAACCTGGGCTAGTGTCAGAAAAGCTATGCACTGGTCTCTATAGATCTGGATTTTCCCACACGTAACATAGTTTGTGATCTGGATGTGTAAATGTGTCAAACTTGATAAGCAGCCTCAAAGGTATAAAATGATGATGTCTTTAGAAAAAGAATACATTTTTCTACAGTACATTATTTGACAATGGATTAAACTAAGGTATTTATTATCCCCCACCTTTCAAAGAAAGCAGGGGACTGTTAAAATGGGTTCATCGGTATGTCTGTCTGTCAGACACTTTATGTATAGTTTTATTAATACCTTGACTAAGTTCATTAATGAGCATTTTCTGCTTAGGGTAAGCAGAGCGATAAGCAATTTGATTGGTTGAGACTTTGGAACACAATAACTCTCATTCTAATTGAGCTAGAATGTTCACACTTGGCTTAGGTGTTTTAGGTGAATGCCTTGATGGAGTTCCAAGATGAGAATTGTCTGCTTAGAGTAATCAGAGATAAGTAATTTGATTGGTTGATGCTTTGGGAGAGAGAGAGAGAGAAATGGGGTTTAACATCCACTCGACACAAACTAGGTCATTTCGGGACTAACATATGGTTTAATTTTATTTCAATAATTCGCTTGCGCGTAGGGGTCTTTAGCAGTGGGAGGAAACTAGAGGACTCGGAGAAAACCCACGAGGTTGGACAGACGACCCTACTCCTTGTCACGTACAACCGGGGATTCGAAACCACGCCAGTCGACTCAATGACAGACTTTATGATACAGCGCACACGCTAACCATTCAGCCATCCAACCCCCCTGATGCTTTGGGACACGATAACTTTATTTCTTATTAAGGGAGAGTGAGGACACTTGGTGTATAGTTTTTTCACATCAATACCTTGACTAAGCAGAGCAATAAGCAATTTGATTGGTCGAGACTTTGGAACACAATAACTCTCCTTCTAATTGAAGTAGAATGTTCAAGCTTGGTGTAGGCGTTCATTAGGTGAATGCCTTGAGTTCGATGATAAACATCGTCTGCTTACGATAAGCAGACAATAAGCAATTTGATTGGTTGATGAGTTGGGGCGCGATAACTTTGGTTTTAATGAAGTGAGAGTGATGAAACTCTGAGTATTGATGACGAGAATTTTCTGCTTAGGCTAAGGAGCGATAAGCAATTTGATTAGTCAAGACTTTGGAACATAACAACTCTGCTTTTAATTGAGGTAGAATGTTTAAACTTGATGTAGATGTTCATTAGGTGAATGTCTTGACTGAGTTCAATGATTAACATTTCGAGCTAAAGCTAAGCAGATTTCATTGGTTGATGGTTTGGGACAAGAAAACTTTGATTCTATCTGATAGAGATTGATGAAACTTAATGTATAGATAATAATCAGTTTGATTGCTTGATATTTATGAAAAAAATAAATGTGCGGTTAATTAATGTGTCATCTATTTATTTTGGGGTTTCGGCGGGGGACATGAGCCTCACTGTTGGCTTGTTTATTTATCAGATGATGGGGATTGATTATGGTCGTTTATTTGGTAATATGGAAGAAATAGCTGATGTATCACAGTGTTTTTTAAATAGTCTAGAAACAGCAGTATTAGGAAAACGTTTTGACGAACAAATTGTTGGTAAGTATTTATGTAGATTAAAGATACATTATGGGAGATTAGATATAGAGCTGACAGTTCTCATTATAATAGTTACAAACTAGATAATGTAAAGGGAATTTGCTGAAAACTTCAGTCAAATTGATCCACTCTGAACCAAGATTTTAGCGATTTTCGACCTAGCCTCAATCATCATTACTAAAGTCAGTACAATAAAAAGCCTAGTCTCGATTATACATTTCATGATTAAATCATGAATGAAAGTTGTGCAGCAAATGGGATCCTAATCCAGTAAATATCACAGGCTAGCATTGATAATTTAGATAACATTTCAGGCCTAAAGAAAGACCTATAGACAGATTTAGCTCTTGCATAATGTATGTTTAATGAATAAACAACTTAAAGAACTTAAAATTCAAATTGTTTGCTTCAGTTTCAGAAATTGTAAACTAATTTGGAATGATTAATTTGAAATTTTCTTTATTTGTAAAAGTTGTAAAAGAACATTAAAATAACATGTTACCGTATTTTGTTGTAGGAACAAGTTTTGTAAAATATGCTGAAGATATGAAGAATACATATGCACCATATTGTAGAAATCATGATGAAGTTATCACCATATTAGAAAAGGTGAAATATGTAAAAAAATAAAAGAAGATATATTTCAAGATATTGTGTTCTATAATAAAATGCTACCCTGTTTTCTTTTCTTTTATCCCTACCTTAATTGAAAGTGTGCATGTACCTTGTGAGGTTATTACATGTTCAGCAATATGTTGACTTTTCAGTTGCTTGCACACAAAGAAAAAGTGAGCTACAAAATGGATAATCCATTCACCTGATTTGATATGATATTTTTATACGACCACATTTTCATGTGGACGTATATTGATGTCGCCCCTGTCCGTCCGTCCGTCCACAATTTGTTTGTGGACACTCTACAGGTCATAATTCTTATCCGATTTTGATAAAACTTGAAATAAAGGTTTATCTCCATAAGATCTCGGTTGCTTTTGATATTGGCATGTATCGGATCGAAACTTCATGGATTATGGCCCCTGTTTGTCCGAAAAATCACGTTTTTAGCTTGTGGACCCTATAGAGGTCACAATTTTTACTGAATTTGTTGAAACTTGAAATGTAAGTTTATAACCCAAAGATCTCGGTTCCTTTTGATATTTGAGCATATCGGACCGTAACTTCCCGAATTATGGCCCCTGATTGTAAGAAATATCGTTTTTAGCTTGTGGACCCTATAGAGGTCATAATTTTTATCTGATTTAAAAAACGTATTATTATGTCACTGTTACACCCTAAGGTCGCTTGAGTTCGAATTTCGTGAAAATCGGCCCAAAATTGACAGACAACATGGCCGCCGTCGTTCTCAAATAGCTTAAAAATATGGTATATCAAGGTTGTGGACCCTATAGAGGTCACAATTTTAATCCGAATTTGTTGAAACTTGAAATGTAAGTTTATAACCCAAAGATCTTTGTTCCTTTCAATATTCGTGCATATCGGACCGTAGCTTCCTGAATTATGGCCCCTGATTGTACGAAAAAAACACGTTTTTAGCTTGTGGACCCTATAGAGTTCATGATTTTTATCCAATTTAAAAAAAGATATTATTATGTCACCGTTACACCCTAAGGATGACTGAGTTCAAATTTCGCGAAAATCGGCCCAAAATTGAGACAAAATAGCCGCCGTTCGTTCTCAAATAGCGTAAAAATATGGTATATCAAGGTTGTGGACCTTATAGAGGTCACAATTTTGATCCGATTTTGATGAAACTTGAAATACATATTTATAACCCAAAGATCTTGGTTCCTTTCGATATTCGCACATATTGGATCATAACTTCCTGAATTATGGCTCTTGATTGTACGAAAAGTCATCCGATTTAAAAAAAACATTTGAATATATCACTGTTAAACCCTTATGATGGATGAGTCCAAATTTCGTACAAATCTGACCAAAACTGCCGGACAAAATGGCTGCCCCTAGTACGCAAATATTATAAATATATGGTATATCAAGGTTTTGGACCCTCTAGAGAGAGGACACAATTTTGATCAGATTTTGATGTAACTTGAAATACATGTTTATAACCCAAAGATCTTGGTTCCTTTCAATATTCATGCATATCGGATTGTAACCTTCCTGAATTATGGCCCTTGATTGTACGAAAAATCACTTCTTTATTTAAGCTTGTTCTCTGTCCATCTCTTGCAAAATGTGGGCGTATCTTGTCTGCAATTTTGTCTTATGTCTTTTCTTTGTGTGTAGTGCAGTTCTCCTGCACTTACTATTAAGTATTGGGTAAATGTAGTGAGGGTTTAACTTCTCCTCAACAAAATACTTTAGACATAACATATTGTTAAAGGGCATTAGGTAAGATTAGATAAAGAGCCGACAGTTCTCGCGATAACAGTTAAAAAATAGAACTGCGACGTAGTAATGACGTGTTTCACCGGTGCCACATTAATCTTGAACTAACATCACTTCCCTAACAATGAAAACGTTGAACAGATTTCCACATTTGCATTGCACATGTGTTTTAAAATGAAATGGGCACAGAATTAGCCAATAAATCCAGCAATATCAGGTCCATCAATACAACGAAGACTCGACACGATGACATCACTTCCATTTTCAACAAAATATTTAAATTGGATTTCAGAAGAAAAAAAACACTCTGATTGTCCTTTGCATGACAGACAATTGATTAAAATTGGAACAGAATTAATCCTTTATTAAAATGCGAATAATCTTAAAAAAGTGATACTGACAAAACTGGTTATTTCTCGGCACGAGAAGACGTTAGAATTACTTTTTTGATATCTGTATGATCATATTGATTCATATTATTTGTCCATTGAAATCAAATATCATAATTTTATACAAATAATGAATATCACTTACTTAAAACAAATATTTGTTTTTGAGGCTAAAAATACAGTTTTTGCCAAAATGGCAATACTTCCAGGGATAATGAAAATGTAATATCACTTTTAGGAAATCTCAATGCCCAGTCAAAAATGGCATTAGTGAAAAGAAATAGAAAATCGGTTTATAATTAACTCGTTTACAGGTAAAGTAACTTGAAAAGTGACTCATGCAAAATTGCCTATTTCTCGGCAACAGCTTATATTACAAACTAACTTTGACATATATTGTCATCGTATGGATTAATGCTACAGGTTCATGAAAGTTGTCAAGAAATATTTTAAAATATGAAAAGCCTGAATGCATTGTAAATAGCTCATTTTTACACTCTTTTTCGCATTTAAATCAAAATGCCGCAAATGCAAAACCGCAATAAAAAAATAATCAAGTAAGACATAATTTGCGTCTTTAGTAGGAGCATTCATCTTGATGTATTAGATTTGTAAACATTAATATTTGCTTTTTATACACCCCACATAGAAATGTGGTCGTATATTGCCGTCGCCCCTGTCCGTCCGTCTGTCGGCCCGGTCCGTCCATCGTCCACAATTTCTTGTGAACACTCTACAGACTACATTTAACATCTGATTGTTTTGAAATTGATATATGTTTGTTTGCATTAGTGAGATGAAGAAGCCTATTTAATTTCAAGAACTTCCGTTAATTTCTTCTGGAGTTATGGCCCTTGTTTCACTTTGTTGCACCTTATGATAGTTATCAACTGATTGTATGAAATGTATAGGCATCATTTAAATTAGTAAAACTAAGAAGCCTATTGAATTTCAGCAATTTCTGTTAATTACATCTAGAGTTATGGCCCTTGTTTCACTTTCTTGAATCTTGTGAACGCTCTAATGACAACAGTTATCATCAATCTGTTTTAAATTGATATGCATCATTTAAATTAGTGAAACAAAGAAGCCTATTGAATTTCAGCAATTACAGTTAATTATGCTGTGAGTTATTACCCTTGTTTCACTTAGTTGTACTTTGTGAATGTTCTAACGACAAAAGTTATTATCCGATCTGTATGAAATTTATATGTATCATTTAAATTAGTAACCCGAACAAGCCTCTTGAGTTTCAAAAAATTTCTATTAATCGCATCTAGGGTTATAGCCCTTGTTTCACTTTGTTGAAATTTGTAAATGCTTGAACAACAAAAGTTATCACCAAAACTGTATGAAATTCATAAACATCATTTAAATTAGTGAAATAAAGAAGCCTTTTGAATGTCAGCAATTTCCGTCAATTACTTCTAGAGTTATGGCCCTTGTTTTACTTTGTTGAACCTTGTGAACGTTAGAACAACAAAACTTATCATCCGACCTGCATGAAATTTATATGCATTACTTGAATTAGTAAAACGAAAAAGCCTGTTGAATTTCAACATTTTCTGTAGATTACTTCCAGAGTTACGGCCCTTGTTTTAGTTTTTAGAACCTTGTGAACCCTCAAACGACGAAAATTATAATGTTATCCGTATGAAATTGTCTATTAAATTCCCCTAATTAACTACATAATAAATATGCGACAACCCTTGTTGACTGCTCGGACGATTTAGCTGCTGTGAGCGTATGTTTTGTTGCCTGGCAACCTCGACACATCAAAATTGAAGTTTTGAGCAAAATAACGTCACTTCCAGCTTTCAACAAAAAATAATGAATATCGCTTACTTCGGTGATAATGAAAATCTTAAATTACTTGTATGAAATCGTAAATGGAATTAGCTATCACACAGTGAACATTTTATGAAAATCGAATAATAATTGACACTTTTATGGACCAAACACCTTGAAAAGTGACATGTTGAAAATCGCCTATTTCACCTCAACTAAACGCATCAAATTGTGTCACTGTAATGAAAATCCAATAATAATTGACTCTTTTACAGGCAAAATAGCGTAAAAAGTGACTCATGCAAAATTGACTGTTTCTCGGCAACTGCTCATATTACAAACTAATTTTCACATATTCTTTAAATGGCATTTAGTAATTGGAACATAATCGAATAACGCACTATTTATGGATAACAATTAATGTTTTTTATTTCACTGCAACGTTTCAACAAGATTTCACAAGTCGTTATCAAGCATATAACACAAATAAATAAAATGAAAAAAAATATGGTTATATATATACAAGATCAGTGCGAACCCTCCAATGGGATGCATAATCAGCAAGCATGAGCAACTGTCTTTGTATGGCTTATTGCTACCCGTTTATGAAAGTTGGGAAGAAATATTTTAAAATATGAAAAGGCTGAATGGGTTGTGTGAATAGCTCAATTGACCCTTTCAGTCATACCAGATTTAAAAAAAATAATATTTCCTTTCAAACATTAGTACCGAATTGTAGTTTTTGCTAAATTTACGTCACTTCATTGCCAAAAGGTAACTTTTCTGGCAACAAAAAAAATGATATTTATATACAACTTATATACAAGTTGAACTATAAATAATTAATCCAGGGCCCTGTTTCACAAAAACTTAAATCACCTTAAAATCGTCTTAAACTAAAATTCCATCCTAACTTAAAGATAGATGCGTTTCACAAAACGATTTTAAGCATTTTAGATAAAATCCACTAAAATAATATTGTAAGTTAAAATTGTATCTTAACTTAAAATAGTGGCGTTTCACAAAACTATTTTAGGGACAATTTTAACTAAAATCAATTTT